GAGGTTTGTCATCAATTGACATTTCACAATTTTTGAAATGAAAAAACTACTTGTACACTGGAGTTTTTCCCATAGTGCTGTCCTTGTAAGCTGTGTTCAACATCACAACAGCTTCTGTGGCATTTTCCTTGAGCAGAAAACAAAATTTCACAGCTGCAAGTTGTTCTCTTAAATTGGCCATCACAAAAAATGAGGTTTGAGTGAAACTGCTTTTACAAAAAATTCACTGTGAACAGAGAGAAACTTCCCAGGTGATGCCACTGGGTGCACTAATTCAGAGATAGTTGCTTGATTAGAGGGTAAAACGCATACTATGAAAGATCCTCCCAGCAGAGCTTTTATCCATTTTTCTGGGGGGTACCCACTTGTATGTGCATATATATGTATACATGTATATACATATTTCTGTTATATCTCTCTATATAGAAGTATATAGATGTATGTATATATATGTATATTTAGACAGGGAGAAAATCAAAAACACACACACACAGAAACAGGATTGTTGGGGGCTGGTAAATACACGATCAGCCTATAACTTATAGACTCTGGTACTATTTTGTCTCAAAATTGTAGGTCAGATATTTAGAAGAATAAATATTAGAAGTGTTCAGGAAAATGGTATATTTACAATGTAAGTGCAGAACACACAGGGAAACTTCCTTTTGGCTCTGAAGGTCTTCAACTGACTGAATGAGGCCAACTCACATTATGGGTGGTGAGGTAGTTAGTTTATTGTGCCAACCTGGCCGATAAACACATGTGGGGTTAATTGAGTGGAGGAGGGATAAGTGGCTCGGTGAGCCTCACCTTTCTAGTTCTTGGGTCTCTTGCTTTCTGATGGTCGGACTAGGGTGCAGCTGCCTTAGCCAGTTCCCTGCTTTACCTTGCAAGGCTGACTTCCTGCAAGAAATCCCCAAGGAGAAGCCACATGGACCTACCCTGATGCAGCCCTGGGTGCTAGAACACCCTTGTGGAGACCTCTGCTGGCGCTGAGATGTTTACACATTCACTGACTTGGCTTTCCTCCTGCAGGTAGCCTCATTGCCTCTGTTTTCTGAGATGGAGGAGGACTTTGTGGATTGGTGTTGGACATATGGGTTAATGGGTTAATGTTGGGATGTTTTCATGATGTGCACTTACCCTTTATATAAAACGCTGTCTTGTACATGAGTTTCTGTGGATTTGTTTCTCTAGAGTACCCAGACTTACACAGATGGTAATCTGCTTCACTTAAGCCAATGGATTTAATCATATGTAATTTCTTCTTAACAGTAACTAGACTAGTGTTTTACTAAACAAAGTTTACATGTAAAATTAATCATCACACATATACATAATCATGGGATTGGGAAAATGTTTTCTTCAACATAGGTTTAAAAAGTTCCTAAGAAGATCCATAGTACAGATAAAATCTCTTAGGAACAATAGTGAGGGTAGCAATATCATGAGGGTAGGGATGGTCAGAGAGGGGGAAGGGGGAGAAAGGGAGAATCCATTACAAGGTTGGATAGATAGCCTCCCCCCCAAAAAAGGGGGACAAATAACAGAAATGTGGGTGAAGGGAGACAACAGACTGTGTAAGTTATGAAATAATAATAATATGTAATTGACCAAGGATTCACAAGGGTGGAAGATTGGGAGAGGGAGGAGAAAAAGAGGAACTTATCCCAAGGGCTCAAGTAGAAAATGTTTTAGAAATGATGATGGCAACATATGTACAAATATGCTTGATAAAATTGATGTATGGGATGTTGTAAGAGCCCCCAATAAAATTATTTTTTTAAAAAAAGAAGATCGGTAGTGAAAGAACCTGCTTAACCTTTTCTAAGTTTGAATAATAAATCCAGTTTTCAATAACCAATATTCTGTGGAACACATAATAACGACATTACTTAACTGTATACTTTTAGTAACAAATAAACTCATAAGCTCAGTGTCAAGTCAGGATTTGTTTCAGATATGTTGATCAACTCAACTTGTTATTCAAGTTGTTGATAATGGAAAAATTATTAATTTTGTAGGTGGATATATGTAGGTGGCTGTTAATGATATTGCTTGGATGAGCCTCGTGAGCTTGTTACTCTATAGGTGAGAGATGAGCTACCTACATTTTTGGATTCAAGAAACCCCAAAACAGCCCATTGTGAAGTCTCAAACTCTGTACTACAAAATACCCATGTAGCTCCTCCGGTCACTGAGGCTGAAAAACAGTGGAATTTGGACCATTGTTGGTGTCTTTAGACCTTGATATTTCATATGGTGAAAGAAATCAGATCTAACTTGTGGCTCCTTGAATGTCTTAATGTTCATCACTGATGATGTTAGAAACATCACCATTGGACCTAAGTAGGTGTGTTAGGCTGGGTTGACTAGAAAAACAAATCCAGTGACACTCATAAATGTGTAAGAGAGAGTTTTATATCAAGAAGTAATTATGTATCAACAAAGCATCTCAACCCAGTCCAACTCGTCAATCAGTCCAATACTAGTTCATAAGTCCCTCTTCAGACTCACGAAGCCGCATACAATGATGCAGAATGCAGAAACATCACTGCTGGTAGGTGTAGAGTTGTGTTGATCCAATGGCAGTGGCTCTGGCAGCTCTCTGAGTGACTCGATAGCAGGAGAGTGAAGCAGAGAGAGAGAGGAAGTTCCCAGGATCCTTCTTATGAGAAGACCACACCCACAGGCTGTTACCTGATTGCCAGGCTACACTCCACCCCTCCACTTCAAGTTAACACAAAATTACATAACCACCACAATAGGCTTCTCTAAATCTGCAGATATCTCCAGCTATTAGAACTGGTTCTCTCGTGAACTTCAAGTACTCCTCACACACTCCAGTTAAAACTATGGACTTTGCTTCATGTTTTACTCTTGATGATGAGCCTTTGGACAAGTCATTGCCTTCCTTAGGGCACCCTTCACCTCTTTGTTTCTAATGGTGTAAATAAAGGGATTCAGAAGTGGGGTAAGGATAGTATTGAGCACAGATACCACCTTATTAATCTTAAAGGAGGAGTGTGTGGAGGGTCTCAGGTACATGAACAGAACAGCTCCGTAGAGCAGGGTGACAACAGTGAGGTGAGAGGCACAGGTAGAGAAAGCCTTCTGGCGTCCAGAAGCCGAAGGAATGCGTAGAATGGTAGATAAGATGTAGATGTAAGAAATCATGGTAAATAAGAGTGAACCTGGGATTACTAAGGCGGTTGCCATGAGACCCAGGAGCTCCAAAAGAGTGGTGTCAGCACAGGCTGCTTTCAAGATGGGACCAACATCACAATAGAAATGATCGATGACATTGTTGCCACAGAATGACAGCTGGGCAAGCAGTAGCATCTGACAGAAGACAATGGTGAAACCTCCTCCCCAAGCGCTGAGGGCCAGCTGCAGGCAGAGGTTGCTGGTCATTATGGTGGAGTAACGGAGGGGCTTGCAGATGGCTATGTAGCGATCAAAAGACATGACAGTGAGAATGAGGAACTCTGTAGTGCCCAGGAAGAAGTGGAAGAAGGCTTGTACCAAGCAGCAAGGAATGCAAATGACTGCTCTTGCCACCACAAAGGTTTCTAGCAGTTTGGGGATGACTGTGGTGGTGTACCAGATCTCAAGGAAGGACAAGTTGCAAAGGAAGAAATACATTGGAATTTGTAGCTTAGGCTCAGCCCAGACTATGACAATAATGAGCCCATTGCCGGCAATGGTTAATATGTAGACAAGAAAAACTACTATAAAAAGAGGAGTTTGTAGTCCTTGGATCCCAGGAAAGCCTAGGAGAATGAAGTCTGTGATTGCGGTGCCATTTCTCATTCTATCCTGGAACAGCAGAAAGAGAGCCGCTCAGAAGTCGCACATTCATGTATACTTGAATACAGTTTGGACACACAAAAAAGGAGGATCCTGGGTCCTTCAGCACTTCTGCCCCCACATACACATGTACACACATACACAGCACACCTCTTCCTTACTTATGATTTGGTTTGTTCTTTTGTCACCCCAATCCATTTTAATGGACTTTGAAAATATTAAGTACCCTTGAATGACAAATAGTGCCGTTAAATATTTAAACTTCTTATGTAGCTACAAGGAAAATCTATTGGTTTATATGTCAATAAGACATCTGATTATTTTAAATGAACAGTTTTATATAATGGGATAAACACAACTGTGAGTTTAAAAACTTAATACCCAGTCCAATATTATATTTGTAATGAAAATTCTTGAGTTTTGTAAAATAGCTATGTTTAAGAAAAATGAGTATAAACAGACAAGGAGGCGTCACAAAATTCGTGGACAAATGGAATTGAAAGACAATGAAGTTTCTCCATAAAAAGTTGAAGATTCTGGAAAGGTCAGGTAAAAAAGTCGAAGTCCCTTGTATATGGATTTATATAACTACGAAACATTGCCATGATATTAGTGGTTCAATTTGGATAACACAACAGAGTTCTTCAAAGTTTAATAATAATCCACTTTCAAATTTCATTTCAGATACTGTTTTTATTAAAGGAGACTCAAAAAATTCCAAATTGAATGTATAAAACTGCTTGGTAAGTAGGGAAATAAAATAAACTTTAACTTAAAATACCAAGATCAGCTGAATCAATATCTTGTATATAAGTAGCAATTATCACACATTGACTCTGAATCAGGGCAGCCCTGTGTCATAGTAAAATTGTACTTCATAGAATTTTAAATGGCTGAAAAAATAGTTTTGTTGGCATTTATATCACACATCATACAATTTAATAATGCAATAATATTTAGAAGATTTGTGCAATGAACACCACAATCAATTTCAGAACATTTTCTTCTTGAACTCACTGTTGTTAGCTCCTCATCTCCCTCTATCCTCCCCTGCCATGCCCCTAGGTGATTATCAATCCAGTTGCTATTTCTAAAGATCTACATATTCTGAGTTTCAATGACAGAAGATCATACAAAACACAAACAGGAAGCCAGCAAGTAAGCAAGCAAACAGAAAAGAAAGAAAAAACAACAACAATGACAAAACAAAAATCTCAATCAAGAAAGAAGAAAATATTAAAAAGTGAAACAACTTCAAAATGGATCAAAATGGAGATCAAATGATCATGTATTACCTCTTAATCTGACAAGGTCTGCCATAATCGACTTTGCAATGTTCTTTGTCTGGTAGCAAGGCTATTCACTTCCCTGGAAGAAGGTCAGAGGGAATTCACCAGAGTTTTTAATCTGTGAGGGGACCCTGCAAAAGTTTGGCCTTCCACAGTCATCTATAGCCTTCTACAAACCAGGTGTTCACAATTTAAGCTCTGATACCATTTCCTCCTTCAGATTTGGATTTTATTATTTACAATCCTTGAATCACACAGGTTGGTGTGCTTCTCCCATGTGGACTTAGTTGATGCCTCACTTAGATGGCTGCTTGTTTGATGACAAGCCTTTAAAAGACCCCCGAAACTATTCTTTCTGATAGCTGGGGATCCTCTAGTTTCTTTACCACATTTTGCTGCAGCACCCATATCTTCAGTAATCTCTTTATGAGGGTGACCATCAAGAGAGCCATTTCATAAGAATGAATTGTTCTCAGATTGGTACTAGAATTAAGTATGAGCACCATTTGTATATCTATGGTTTACATATGTCTCTGGTTCACCTTAGAAACATAATTATCATTTTATTATACAGAACACTATAAATCATTCCCTTGGGATATAAGGTAAGTTTATTGATAGTATTATTAATTTAATGACTAGGCCTTTCTTATGAGATTCCTCTAGGTCAGTGGTTCTCAACCTGTGGGTCATGACCCCTTTGGGGGTCGAACGACCCTTTCACAGGAGTTGCCTGATTCATAACAGTAGCAAAATTATTGTTCTGAAATAACAACGGAAATAATTTTATGGTTGGGCGGGGGTCACCACAACATGAGGAACTGTATTAAAGGCATTAGGAAGGTTGAAAACCACTCCTCTAGGTGGATTTAAATTTTCAACCTTTGGGTTATCAGCCAAGTGTGTTAAACATTTATACCACCCAATATCTCTTCTAGGATATAGTAAGTACTACTCTTCATTGAATAAAGACCCATTAGATGTTAACCTAAAAAAAAAGTGAAAAGAATAGTAAATGCTAAGGAAACAAATTGGAAATTCTGGAAGACACATTCCTACCAGAATTTCCTTTCGTGACTTTTTATGTATTCATGCCAAATACTCTGTTTGCACATTAAATTTATAGGATGAGAATTTTCTAGTACCCAATAGCAAACCTCAATCCACTGTCACTAGAAAGTAGTAAATTCTCCTCTATTAAATTGAGGATATTTTCTGATTGTTTTCATTTGATACGGGTAAGGTAAATTGCTGTTCAAATCAACTGCACATTCTCAAAGTACTTAGGAACCCGTATCAAATTGGCAGCTTACAGTTCATTGGTATGCTGCTCAATTCTTCCTCATCTGAGAACCTCCCCCACCCATCAAATTACTTCCACTTCCTGCTACCTCTTTTCTAGATGAGGGAAGAATTATTCTTTGTCTGTATTCCACAAACTCCAAGAAACGACAGAAATTTGTAGCATTTAAACTTCTGCTAATGACCAATATACAATGATACCTTGGTTTGTTGAATTTAATTTGTTCAAATTTGTGTTCAAAACCTGAAAATTTTAAGAAGTAAACATATTACTCTCATAGGAAATATTGGAAAACCAAACAATTGTTTCTGAGGCCCCCAAACTACACTAATAAATTCATTTTTCCAGGATTTTAAATCACCATTGAGGCTTCGAGCCCTCTGCACATCACTGTCTCTGACAGCTATTGCCACTGAGTTGTTTCTGATGTATCCAAATTAATGGTAACTTTTCAACCTCTTCGATGGTCTGGGTTCTTTGCTTCGTGGTTAATGATTCCAGACCTTTTGCTACATTGGCTTCTTTAATCACATTTTCTTCCAAAAGTATTGATAATGGTGACTTAGTCATGTTGTATTCAGCCACCAAATCATACAACTAGGGAACCGTTTCAAATTCCTCAATGATTTCCTTCTTCAATTCTGTCATGACTCTCAGTTTTCCTCTTAGTTAACTTTCTTTGGAGCCGTGGTTTCAATATTTTTCACAAATAAAGCAGAACACACACACACACACACACACACACACACACACACACACAATGACCAATGCTTTGAATGCACTAAAACAAGCACTGAGTGAGGGCAACACTTACACTGATGAAGCGCCGCCTGAGACTCGACGAGCGGCTCACTCACAGATTGTGCAGGTTGTTTCAAGGTAGATTTATCAAGCAAAGCCACAAACACAGAACAGATTTTTGAAAAATGTTGCTGGTTGGAGTAGTGGAAAGTCACTGTAATTGGCTGAGCCTGTATAAGGTAGAAATGGAATTATCTTTATTGCCACACAAAGTGTTGTAAGCTTTCCAGCCCAAAATAAAACTTGCGAGTTTGCAAATTCTACTGGTGCTTATTGATCGGGAGAGAAACCACATGTAATAATGATAACGTACCATGTGAGTGAATGTGTGAATTTGTGCACAGATTGTTTTGGGAGCACGAGGAAGGGACACTTTACCCAGCCTGGGCAGGGAGGGAGGAGGCTACTTAGAGAAGGAGGCCCTAAACAGAATCTTGTTCCTTGCTCTAGAGATGGTCACCATGCATAAACTGAAAAAGACTCCCACTCATGGTGACCATATAGGAGAAAGTAGGACTGCTCTCATGGATTTTCCTAGGGGAAAGCTTTATTTTAATTTTATTTTTATAAATCTTCAAGTAGCAAAATTCTAAATTAACAATGCTGCCACTGTTCTAAAACTCTAACTCCTTCAGAGAAAAAACTATGGGTATACATTGCAGATTTTGTATTTTTTTAAATTAAAATATCATTTTATTGGGGGCTCTTAAACAACTCTTATAACAATCCATACATCAATTGTATCAAGCGTATTTGTACATGTGTTATCATCATTTTTTTCTAGATATTTACTTTCTATTGAGCCTTTGGTATTAACTCCCCCATCCCCACCCTTGTGACCCCTTGGTAAGGTATAAATTATTATTTTTTTCATATCTTACACCGATCTTAGAAGAAATCTTTTTGGGAGTAGAAAACCTCATCTTTTTTTCTGAAGAGGGTTTGGTGGTTTTGAACTACTGATTTTCTGATTAGCAGTCCACTGTGTAACTCAATATGTCACTAAAGCTGAAAGCTGTCCTGCATCTTAGCCAGCACACAGGTTCCATTGACAGTCATTGGGAATGCTGCAGATATATTGCATTGGCCAGAAATAGAACCTGAGTCTCCCATATGGAAAGGAACCACCTCTGAGCCATCATTTCCTTCAAAAGCTAAGTTCTAGAGAAGTTAAATCAGAAAAGAGAAGTGGAAGAGAGAACATGTATTCTAAGCTAGGATTCAATGTTTGTGGAAACAGAGGTAGAACAGAGATTCCACCTTGAGCAGAAGCTAGGATCCAGGCTGGTCCTAGCATGTCTGATAAACTTACAGATGGGACAGGCTTCTGGGGAAGCAGCTAACTATCATGGATTCTTAAAATTGTTGGAGGGGGAAATATTGAATCAAGGAGTTGCTAACATGGCAAAAATATGTGTTTATGTGTGTTTGTTTGCGCTTGTGTGTGTCTGAATATGATTGTGGAAGGAGTGGCATGGTGTTTGCTGGTCTCCCTGATGCATGCATTATGGAGCATATTGCAATTAGTCCTTTTGAGATCCTGGTCACAGACAGTACTGCTGTGCTATCTAAGTGATAAGGTAGGGTGTGTAAAGGAAGAGACATATTCT